TTATTTAATTTGCTCCTGCGGAGGAAAAAAATTCCTTCCTGATCCCCTGAGAGGAAATCGGATATTCCCTGAATCAACTTTACCTATAAATGTTATATCCAGTTATATTCTGTGTATCTAAGAAAGAATCCAGGCCTTTTTTAAATTTATCCACTGAGCTGGCCAGAACCAACACTTGAGGGAGTCTATTCCACATTTTCACAGCTCTTACTTTGAAGAAACCTTTCCATGTTTGGAGATTAAATTTCTTTTCCTCGAGACATAAAGAATGCCCCCTTGTCCTCTGTGATGACCTCAGGGTGAATAGCTCTACACCGAGTTCACTATATGAACCACTGATGTACAGGTGAAACTCGAAAAATTAGAATATCGTGCAAACGTTCATTTATTTTAGTAATGTAACTTAAAAGGTGAAACTAATATATGAGATGGACTCATTACATGCAAAGCAAGATAGTTCAAGCCGTGATTTGTCATAATTGTGATGATTATGGCTTACAGTTCATGAAAACCCCAAATCCACAATCTCAGAAAATTAGAATATTACATGCAATCAATAAAACAAGGATTGTACATAGAACAATATCGGACCTCTGAAAAGTATAAGCATGCATATGTACTCAGTACTTGGTTTGGGCCCTTTTGCAGCAATTACTGCCTCAATGCAGCGTGGCATGGAAGCTATCAGCCTCTGGCACTGCTGAGGTGTTATGGAAGACCAGGATGCTTCAATAGTGGCCTTCAGCTCTTCTGCATTGTTCGGTCTCATGTCTCTCATCTTTCTCTTGGCAATGCCCCATAGATTCTCTATGGGGTTCAGGTCAGGCGAGTTTGCTGGCCAATCAAGCACAGTAATCCCATGGTCATTGAACCAAATTTTGGTGCTTTTGGCAGTGTGGGCAGGTGCCAAGTCTTGCTGGAAAATGAAGTCAGCATCCCCATAAAGCTCGCCTTGCGAAGGAAGCATTAAGTGCTCCGAAATCTCCTGGTAGACGGCTGCGTTGACCCTGGACTTAATGAAGCACAGTGGACCAACTCCAGCAGGTGACATGCCTCCCCAAATCAACACAGACTGAGGAAACTTCACACTGGACTTCAAGCATCTTGCAGTGTGTGCCTCTCCATTCTTCCTCCATACTCTGGGTCCTTGGTTTCCAAATGAGATGCAAAAGTTGCTCTCATCAGAAAAGAGGACTCTGGACCACTGAGCAACAGACCAGGCCTGTTTTTCTTTAGCTCAGGTAAGACGCTTCTGACGTTGTTTGTTGTTCAGGAGCGGCTTGACAAGAGGAATATGACATTTGAAGCCCATGTCCAGGATCCATCTGTGTGTGGTGGCTCTTGATGCACTGACTCCAGCCTCAGTCCACTCCTTGTGAAAGTCCCCAACACTTTTGAATGGCCTTTTTCTGACAATCCTCTCCAGGCTGCGGTCATCCCTGCTGCTTGTGCACCTTTTTCTTCCACACTTTTCCCTTCCACATAACTTTCTTTTAATGTGCTTTGATACAGCACTTTGAGAACATCCAACTTCTTTTGCAATTACCTTTTGAGGCTTTCCCTCCTTATGGAGGGTGTCAATGATGGTTTTCTGCACAACTGTCAGGTCAGCAGTCTTTCCCATGATTGTGATTCCTACTGAACCAGACTGAGAGACCATTTAAAGGCTCAGGAACCCTTTGCAGGTGTTCTGGCTTAATTAGCTGATTAGAGTGGGACACTTTGAGCCTAGAATATTGCACCTTTTCACAATATTCTAATTTTCTGAGATTGCGGATTTGGGGTTTTCATGAGCTGTAAGCCATAATCATTACAATTATGACAAATCATGGCTTGAACTATCTTGCTTTGCATGTAATGAGTCTATCTCATATATTAGTTTCACCTTTTAAGTTGCATTACTGAAATAAATGAACTTTTGCACGATATTCTAATTTTTTGAGTTTTACCTGTATTTATACATGTTGATCATATTCCCCCCTTAATCTCCTCTTCTCAAGAAAGAATAAATTCAGTTCCTCTAATCTTTCCTCATAACTGAGCTCATCCATGCCTCTTATCAATTTGGTTGCCCTTCTCTGTACTTTCTCCAGTTCCTCAATGTTCTTTTTGTGAATTGGTGCCCAAAACTGAACTGCATATTCCAGGTGAGGTCTTACTAATGATTTGTACAGGGGTAATATGATATCTCTCTCTGGAGTCTTTACCTCTTTTAATACAAGAGAGGATTTTGCTCACTTTATAAACCGCAGCTTGGCATTGCATGCCATTATTAAGCTTGTGATCTACTAGAATTCCCAGATCCTTCTCCACCATTGATTCCCCCAGTTGTACTCCCCTTAATATGTATGATGCATGTATGTTCTTAGCCCCAAGTGCAGAACCTTACATTTATCAACATTAAACCTCATTTTATTATTCAGTATTTCTAAAGCACCAACAGTTCAGCGCTGTACAGTACAATGGGAGACAATACATGCGACAGTACAATAACAATACAATGCGATACACAAGGGGTTCGAGGGCCCTGCTCCTTGGAGCTTACAATCTAGGAGGGAGGGGATAGTGGTACAGGAGGAAAAGCTGGGGGACATGGAGTGGTAGGAAGAGTGGAGGAGGTTAGCAATTAGCAGGGGGTGGGGTAGGCTTCCCTGAAGAGGTGGGTTTTCAGGGTTCGTCTAAAGGAGAGGAGAGTAGGTGATAGTCTGATGGATTTGGGTAGGGAGTTCCAGAAGATGGGTGACCCCCTGGAGAAGTCCTGGAGGTGGGCATGGGAGGAAGAGACCAGGGAACTAGAGAGAAGGAGGTCTTGTGAGGAGCGGAGAGTGCGTTTTGGGTGGTATTTGGACATTAGGTCGGCGATGTAGTTTGGGGCAGTACGATGGACAGCTTTGTACGTTAGTGTTAGGATTTTGAATTTGATACGTTGGGCAATCGGAAGTCAGTGGAGGGATTGGCAGAGGGGGGTGGCAGAAACGGAGCGGTTGGTAAGGTGGATGAGTTTGGCCGCAGAATTCAGGATAGACTGAAGTGGGGATAGCCTGTGGCAAGGCAGGCCAGTGAGGAGGGAGTTGCAGTAATTGAGTCTTGATATAATGAGGGAGTGGATGAGCTGCTTAGTGGTTTCTGGGGTTAGGAACGTGCGTATTTTGGCAATGTTGTGGAGGTGGAGTCTGCATGATTTGTTAGTGATTGGACTTGGGGCTGGAAGGATAGATTGGAGTCAAGAATTACACCAAGTACTCTGGCCTGTGGGGCGGGCCTGATGGTGGTATTGTTGGATGTGATGGAGAAGTCAGTAGGGGGTGATGTGAGGGCTGGGGGGAAGATTAGGAGCTCAGTTTTGGAGATATTCAGTTTAAGGAAGTGGAGCGACATCCAATCTGATATGTCATTCAGTAGGCTTGTGATTCGGGCGGAGACTGAAGGGGTGAGGCGAGGGGTTGAGAGATTTGCGTGTCGTCTGCATAGAGGTGGTAGTTGAAGCTGTGAGAGTGTATGAGTTGGCCAAGGGAGGAGGTGTAGATGGAGAAGGGGCCTGAGGACAGAGCCTTGAGGGACCCCAACAGAGAGGGGAAGTGAGGGGGAGGTGGTAGCGTTATAGGTAACGCTGAAGGAGCGTTGTGATAGGTAGGACAAGAACCAGGAGAGAGCGGAGTGTCTGAGGCCAAGGGAGTGTAATTTTTTGAGGGGGGGGGTGGTCGACTGTGTCAAAAGCCGCGGAGAGGTCGAGGCGAAGGAGCACTGAATAGTGACCATTAGCTTTGGCGGCTTTGGGAGCTTGGGCGATTATAAGACTAAGCGCTCGAGGAGTTTGTATGTAAGGCAACAGGGAGATGGGTCTAAATTTGTTCGGGTCAGTGAGGTCTAGGGAGGGCTTTTTAAGTATAGGAGTGATGAGCGCTTGCTTCAGAGGGGAGGGGAATGCGCCGGAAGAGAGGGAGAGATTAAAGATGTGGGTGAGGAAGCATAGGATGGAGGATTTGCTGCATAATTGCCCAATTAAACAGTGCATTGAGGTCGGCTTGTAAATTGGAGACATCCTGTAAGAACGTTATTCCACTGCACAGCTTGGTGTCATCTGCAAAGACTGAAATGGGATTTTTAATCCCAGACCCTATATCGTTTATAAATGTATTAAAAAGTAAGGGTCCCAATACTGAACCTTGGGGTACACCACTGACAACCCTAGACCATTCAGAGTATGAATCATTAACAACTACACTCTGAATACGATCTTTTAGCCAGTTTTCTATCCATTTACATACAGATTTTTCCAAGATAGATTTTACCTTACACATGAGCCGTGTGTAACCTCAGCTTGTTCAATTAAGATTTAGCAATAAAACCTGGAAGCTGATTGGTTTCTGTGCAGAAGTGCACAAGATTCTGAGTGAACAGCTTTAGTAAATAAACAAGTGTGTGCATGGACACATAGGGGTTTATTTACTAAAGCTGGAGAGTACAAAATCAGACTCACTTCTGCATAGAAACCAACCAGCTTCCAGGTTTTATTGCCAAAGCTTCATTGAACAAGCTGAGGTTAGAATCTGATTGGTTTCTATGCAGAAGGGAGTCTGATTTTGGACTCTCCAGCTTTAGTAAATAAACCCCATAGCGTAACATGGAGGGGCATTTACAAGCAGTACAAAAAAAAAAAACTAAAAGTGACTGCAAAAACACCGTGTGCATGTGGCCTTAGCAGAATGTTCATAGTTGTAATCCAGAATTAGCCAGGAAACCCTAGTTACTCGATTTTCAAGCTGTAACAGTTTCCTCCAATGCAGGAACTACTACAGTGATCTCCACTAATATGGCTCCTGTACAGAAGACATAGTGGACACCACAAAGCACCGTCTCTAGTGTCGGACGTCTTCGCTGACGTACTTCCCACTTCCTGTGATTTCCGGAAGCGGTGTACAGTTTGCTGTGTAATCCCGCTGGGTATATTTCATTTGTACGGGGTTGTGGGGTGTGTGTCTCCGTTGGTCAGAAGCATCATGCCTGATTACTTGGGAGCCGATCAGCGGAAGACCAAGGAGGAAGAGAAGGAGGACAAACCTATACGGGGTGAGGGCCGCCGGCAGTCACGTGAGCACCCGGCCACCGGTTGTTTGATATAACGGTGATACTGATCGGGCGATGACAGCTGATGAGTGGAGTGTGTGTACAGGAAGGGGCCAGTGGAATGTATGGAGCCATGGCCTCCATTGTAAACATCTGACAGCCTCCTCCTGGGACACCCAGCCCTTCATTGTCATCATTCTGCTTCTCACTATAATAAGCCTCATTCTGTTGTGTCTTTCAGCTCTGGATGAAGGGGACATTGCCCTACTGAAGACATATGTAAGTCACACTGTGTACTCGGGTTTTTTTTATTTCATCATTTTTTTGCTCTCTTGGTATAATAGTGTAGAGCAGTGGTCTCCAAACAACGGCCCAAGGGCCAGATGCGGCCCTATGCCGGCCTATAACTGGCCCTTGGGGCAGTACTCCTCCAAACAGGTATGTGGCATTATTTCTCCCACAGACACCAACAGTGGGTCATAATTCCTTCTACTGACACCCATGATGGGGCGCTACTCCTCTTCCTACTGACCATAGGCGCTATATAACTGACCACCAACCCTGAGGCAGTGATTAGTTTCACTGATGCTAGGCCTGGGACATTTTCTACCCCCACTGGCCACAGTCCCGCCCCCTAAAGTCTGAAGGACAGTAAACTGGCCCTTTTGTCTGAAACGTTTGGAGACCCCTGGTGTAGAGGGAAGGTTATAACTGTAATAACCATATAGAATGAGGCATCATGAGTAGTGGTTATGGCTAATAATATGAATATTGCCCAATAACCAGAAAAACCTAGAAAAAAGCAATGTGAACAGAGAATTCACAAGAGAAAGCGGTTACATAAAGGACAATGCGATACTCAAAAAATGTGATCAGATACGCTTTTATTAGCAAAGTTGCAATATGAAACAATTGAGTTAAGACTGTAAAATAGCCATCACCTCAATATTAGACAATACAACAAACAACCTAAAAGCAAAATATAAAAGAGAGACATCATGGCTAGGCCATTAATAGTAATGTGCTGTAGAAGCAACGACTCAAAGGTTTTTTGCTTATACAGCAAAACACATTGGGATGCACCACCGTACTGGGGATACATGTATCATGAAAGAATCACTGTAACGATGCTTAGGACAGATCATCAAAATGAGCTGCCTCTACTAGTTATGGAAATGCTATATAACTGACCACCAACCCTGAGGGCAATGTTTATTTTCACTGATGCTATGCCTGGGAACATTTTCTACCCCCCACTGGCCACTTTCTGGCCCTCTAAAGTGTGAAGGACAGTAAACTGGCCCTTTGTTTGAATCGTTTGAAGACCCCTGTTGTAGAGGGAAGGTTATAACCCCTGTCAGTTTATTTTGCCATCTGGGTATCTAATGGGTAGATTTCACTTCCTGCCTCATATCCAAAACAGGAAGTGATAGGAAATCCCTCCAAAATGTAGAAATCTCTAGTTGTCATCAGAACTTGTGCCACTTGTTGGAAGACTTCCCCTTCCATTCCTGTTCTGGGGATAAAACAAAATTTGAGATTTTCTTTCACTATTCACCTGGTTCACCATGGTTCATTACGCACTGTCCTTGCGATCTGAAGCGAATGTCAGTGCAATGTTAATGACACCTTAACCGTGTACTACAAACCTGCCATACGACCCGGTTGTGGTAGGTTTCCAGAAGTCGTGCATGTGCCACTTTGGTGCGATTTGAGCCCATTCAAAGTATCACACCGGACTGAATCGCATGTGAACTGCACAGGGATATGGTGCGCTTCCTTCGCAATTCATAGTGTGGACCTAGGCTCAGTGATGATAGCAAAAAAAGACATTCATGGTCTTTTTAATGTGTAAATACACACTGAATCATCCATCCATCCATCCAACTGAGCGGGGGATGGTTCTCCAAGAGTCCTTGCTGATTAAGAAGGAAAGCAGTCCTTTTAGTGTTGGGGTGCACATTGATCTTTGTCATGGGGGTCAACACAGAGAGGTGAGAGTTTACTCAAAAGGGCCATGGTTTTCTACATGCACATTCTTGCAGCACTCGCCTGGGAGTGATATACTGTATATAATAAGTTGTATGGGACTACCACATTCTCATTTATATGGACTTGCTGTTTGATTCTTTTTTTTTTTCTGATTATTTGATGATTGCTTAAAACACATACAGCACCAGATCACAGACAGTGGTTATTACTCACAGATAAACTGTTGTTGATACCTCAGCATTTAATTTTTTTTTTGATACAAATTTAGGAGTCACAAACTGTACTGACACACCCTCATTTGTGCTTAAAAGAGAAGTAGGAGTTTTTTTTTTTCAATTTTGTTTTTGCCCAATTATATTTACCTAAATGAATGCAGCATCGGTCCCCCGCCAGCTCTAAGTGTGAGAACTCAGTGATCACATGACCACTGATCGCTGAGTTCTCACAGCCACTCTGAGCAAAAAGTGGGACTGTCAGTCACGCGCAGATTGCTGAGAGGCTGAGCCAGGTGCCACTCCAGACTCTGTTTAAAATTGGGATCTTTCCCTAGCATGGACCGGCTGAGTGATGTCAGCTGACAGCAGGCATTAGGCCAATGTCATCTGAAAATGAATTACAGGAGTGCAGAACGAACTGCACTCCTATAGTCCACAGGAGAAGTATGGCCAAAAGAGCTTTGGCTGTACTTCTCCCTTAACGAACACAGCCGTATAGGGGCTGTACTACGTGCAGAGCCTGAGATGAATTAGAAGATGCAGATGTACACGACTATGCACCAGAGTTGTGTAATGCATGCACATGTATGTTTGCTCTGAAAGCAGATAGTGTGATGTCAGACCCTATGTGCAAGTGCTTTACACAAAGAGTATAAGGTCTCATGCACACTGGGTGTTTTTAATAACGCTCCTAGAGGTGTGTTTTTTTTTTTTTTTTCTGCCTCTAATGATAATGTTAACCAATGTGTCCATGCACACATAGGTGTTATGAGGCAGAAAAAAAACCTCACTGTCCGCACGTTTAGCAGGAGCGTTTTGACAGAAAATGCATCTAAACACACTTAAATGCATTAAACGCTTGGGTGTTTATTAATTTCAGTGGCCAGAATAAGTTACCGTATTTTTCGCTACACAAGACACACCTGACCATAAGACGCACCTAGGTTTTAGAGGAGAAAAACAAGAAAAAAATATTCTGAACCAATGGACTGCAGACACAGTACAGGGGATGACCGGAGACTGCGGACGCAGTACAGGGGATGACCGGAGACTGCGGCGCAGTACAGGGGATGACCGGAGACTGCGGGCGCAGTACAGGGGATGACCGGAGACTGCGGACGCAGTACAGGGGATGACCGGAGACTGCGGACGCAGTACAGGGGATGACCGGAGACTTCGGACGCAGTACAGGGGATGACCGGAGACTGCGGGCGCAGTACAGGGGATGACCGGAGACTGCGGGCGCAGTACAGGGGATGACCGGAGACTGCGGGCGCAGTACAGGGATGACCGGAGACTGCGGGCGCAGTACAGGGGGATGACCGGAGACTGCGGGCGCAGTACAGGGGATGACCGGAGACTGCGGGCGCAGTACAGGGGATGACCGGAGACTGCGGGCGCAGTACAGGGGATGACCGGAGACTGCGGGCGCAGTACAGGGGATGACCGGAGACTGCGGGCGCAGTACAGGGGATGACCGGAGACTGCGGACCTTTGGGGAGGGAGGGAGTTGTCCTTCCTTCTTCTTCCCGCGGCAGCTTCTGTGACAGCCAGGTGCCCACTGCGCATGCGCGAGAAGCGTGGCGCTTTGTGAATGGCTCGGAGCCTTCTGGGACCTGTCATGTGCCCCAGAAGACACCGGACCATTCACAAAGCGCGACACTTCTCGCGCATGCACAGTGGGCACCCGGCTGTCACAGAAGCCGCCGAGGGAAGACTGCAGCGCTGGAGCGAGGAACTGGTAAGGTCCTGCAGGAGAGAAGAGCTAAGCGGCCGGCCCGATATTCTGACATGGTGGCGGCAGAAATACCAGACCGGCCGCTTTACATTCGCTCCATAAGATGCACTGACATTTTCCCCCCTTTTTGGGGGAAAAAAAGTGCATCTTATGGAGCGAAAAATACGGTACTATTGTTGCTAGTGAAATTAATAAATTCCCAAGCGCTTGACACACTCAAACGTACCTAAACACGTTTACAAAGACATGACTTTAGGTGTGTTGTTTTTTTTTTTTCTTGCTGCTTTTTTCCTGTCAGGAGAAAGGAGTTTAGAAGAGCTGGGTAAACGTCCAGTGTGCATGAGTCCTAAAATGAAAAGCTGCAGGCGTTAACATGCCTCCATACCCTCCTGTTAGGAATTAATTCTGGTCCTTGTTGAAAGGCAGAGTCTGATGCTTCTGCTGTTACTTCCTGCCCCACATTATATTTCTAATGGGCTACCTTGTCGGCTGACAGCAATGTGAAGGGAGTTGTCATCAAGCATCATCACTGTCCGAAAGGTTGGAGATTCAGACATAATGACAAGGAATTTGTTCCTTAGTCTCTTTTCAGCACTACAGAGCTGGTTTGATTTGGAATATATTTAGTACTGGTTCACACGAGATGCAGTTGAGTGAGTTTTTTTTTTTTTGTTTCACCAGAATGCACCTAAACTCATCAAAAATGCACCAAAACTAACATGTCCCTATTTAAAATGAAGGAAAAAACGCACCTGAATGCAACACAAACACGCATGCAGAAACGCATCTGGACTGCGTTTCTGTGGTGTGAACTGGTCCTTAAAGTGGAACTAAAGTTCTGCTGTGACAAACAGCAAGCAGGCAGGCTTTTTATTGCAGAAGACACATGCAACATCTCAATAAATTACACCTACCTGTCTGCTTGCTGTCTTCTCGAGCATGTACACTGAGCTGTGCATGTGCAACTTAGCTTACAATGCTGGCATGGTCCCTGTGTTGGGATGACTGACTCCTGCGCATGCGCAGGAGTGACATCATTTTGCAGCGGCAAAAGACCGGCACCCAGGATGTCTTTGCCAAGGAGGGACAGGTACTGTTGAAGGAAAGGTAAGTTTTTAGCTCCACTTTAACATTGTACCGTGTATAGTATAGAAGCAAAAGTCACTTACAGTTTGTGATTTTTCAACCTTCTGTTCAGCATTGTATAGTAGTGCATGATGCACCTTGAGTATCTTGTTGCAGTGTTACTAACAGTTTTTATAGTTGGAGAGTTTACCATCCTATATTTTGGTTTTATTCCCTAATCATATTAAGACATGTTGGAGCAATTTCTACATATAGTTAGGTCCCTGAACATGAACCTGCACTTAGCAATAACATTTTAGGGCTCTTTCATGCCATCTTCATTAAGCTTTAATCTGCAGAGATCAACAAAGGTTCAACACAGGCACTAGAAAACAATTGTGTTTTTGTGCCCTGTTCACACCACAATGCTGCATTGAGGGTGGTTGCAGTGCATTGTGTAAAGATGCAGACATGCTGCATTTGTATGCAGCACAACTCCTTCACCCTATTACCCTACACATCATCCACCAGGACACACGTGTTTTAGCATGCAAGTTGGTTTGAATGAGCCCTTGAAGTTGAAACTTCTGTCTAAGAACAGACAACACAAGATGCTTGCTATTAAAGTGTTACTAAACCCACAACAGTCTGTATATGCAGTAAAGCATGCTTGATATACTCACTGTGGAACCTAAGGGGTTAATCCTCTGCATTATGTAAAAACTCTGTTTGATCCTGACTTCTCTGATTCTCCCCTTCTTCCAGTGCTCCAGTCTGATAAGGAGATATCCTGATGAGACATATTGTGTGGAGTTGCTCTGCACATGCTCAGTTTGGTGTGTATTGCTAGAGAGTTTTTTGTTTTTTTTATTCATGGGAGAGTACATGTGAGCAGCACTGTCCAGACAGAGGTCAGGGGTTTTGCATCTTTCTAGAGCAGAAAGAAAACTCCTCCGACAAGCTTTAACCAGTGCTCTGCTGAACACTGTAGAAGTCCCAAGACTGCTGATGAGAAAAGGTATCTAGCAGTTTATTTGCTAAAATAATTACACTTTTATGTACTGTGGGAGACCCGATATAGTGAATGCAGGGTCCTAGGTTTAGTAACGCTTTAACTTTTTTTCGTGCACTTCTCTGAATTAGTATAAATTACTGGCGCCTGGCAATTCCTGGCTAAGAATCTACCAAACATCATGCCACAGTCACTGCCTAAGTGTCTAGGATCAGTGAAGTTATGACAGTGAGTGGAACGTAACCATAAAGCCTGAGAAAGTCAGGCCCCAGTACTAAAGTGAAACAAAATAAGTATGGCCTTTTCATAATTTAGTTTTATGAACATTTTAAATATTTTGATATTTTTGTTCCAGGGACAAAGCACATATTCTCGGCAGATTAAGCAGGTGGAAGATGACATACAACAGCTTCTCAAGAAAATTAATGAGCTCACAGGTAAGAACACGCTTTTAATTCTTATAGAATTCAAAACTCACAGATACCAAATGTTGATGGAAATCGGATCAAATTCATAGCTGCCAAAACATTCAAACAAATTACATTTAATATATATATTTTAGCTTGGTATGCAAAACACTGCCCTTAAATACTATAAAAACCATGTACCATAAATATAAATTTTGAAATAGTAAGAGATGCACATGGTCGCACAATGTTTACAGCAAGCATTTCTACTTGAATTGAAAAATAAAAGGTGCAGCGCTAAAGTAATGAATTAATCAAATGAAATACTTCTAAAACATGTGCATATACATAAATAATAAGGTGAATAGAAGCAGCAATAAAACATATAGCAGCAGTAATAAAAGGCAGACACAGTGGGGCGCTCTGATCAGCGCTACCAGTCTAAAGTGCTCCAGGAGCATTACCAGCTTTTGCATATCTGTACCAGATAAGTGCCATATACTGCTATATCACCGCTTCTGGCAACAATAAACTACTCTCATATAAAAGGATAAGGCACCATGGTTTTTCTTTTCTCCACTTGATTTATATATCCAACACTGAGGAAAGGTGGATAAGAGGAGGAGGTGTCCCCAGGAGGGGAAATAGGAGATTTTCACATGTTCCAAAGGTCCATCCATGAGTGGCTATGTGTATGGAGTGAGAGGAGATAAAGAGGATCTGAGCAGACCTTTACTTCCATTTGGAATACCATATATAGGAGCATCATCCCACCAGTCCTGGAAGGACAAAAAGTTTATTTGCCTAAATTTATTTGGGCAAATATCAAGGTGAGCGCATATTGAGACCACACGGCACCTGGAAAGAGGGATTAAGGAGTTCACCTGCACATTGCACTAATTTATATAAAAAAGACTTTTTAATTTATTCATGCACTATATGTATTATATTTGCACAATCTATTGTATTGATATTATTTATTAAGCACAAATGGTATAATTAAGCACTATATTGGTTTAATTTTTAACATATGGATCTATATGTCACATTTATCACATATTATTAATTATCATTATTCAGTTTATTTATATATTTATTTAGATGAGTGACACATAATATGTGATTAAGTACTTATAGTAGGAGCGCGGCATTATAAGTATATATAAAATGCAATAAACAATAGTTATAAGAAAGTCCAGAAAATAAATCCATGAACAGGTGACATCCAGTGCTGGTGAATCCATGAAAAGTATTCCTTTATATGCACTTACCAGAAGCACATATAAAATGCGCATGAACAGCTGGTTTCTTCCCCAGGTAAGTCAGGCAGCACACCCATCAGTCTTAGGACCATAAAGGCCAGGATGATCTCAGATAGGGATGATGACACTAAGCAGCATGCAAACCGTGATGAGAAATCCTGAGGCGTTCGCTCGCAAAAGAGCCAGAGAAAATCAGCTAATAGTATAGTACTTTATTAAAGGTACAGAGTATCCATGTGGAGAGTACAAACAAACAGTATAAAACAACTCACTAAGATGGCCGCCGGACCTTCGTGCGGCCCCGACGGCGTGACATCAATGCACAGGCTCCTCCCTTGACGCGTTTCATGCGCAGGCACGGTTTGAAAGAGATATGTCTTTGAAACCGTGCGTACGCACAAAACGTGTCAAGGGAGGAGCCTGTGCATTGATGTCACTGAACCAATGACAGAGTCTGTAAATACTGCTGGTCACATGTAGGCCATACAGTGCAATGGAGAAAGTGCTGGGCTGTCAAGGTACTAATTTATACTATTTGAAGGCGATCCCCATGAATGGTTGGGAACATGCAGGATTGAGGTTTGCTTAGAGAGTGCAGGCTGCAGCTGACCCGATACAGGGAAGTACAGATGTGAGAACATTGGAAAGCATGGAATACAGGACTTGCTGGAACAGCAAGAATATAGTGCAGCACAGAGGTGCTGGTCTTACAGGTAGGCAGGGCACAGAATACTAATAAAAACACTTTCTGCACTGGGGTGCAGGGCTCACAGGGAGACTGGAGTATCTTAGCAGTAGTGGGATGCTGAGCTTACAGAATCAGAGGAAACCATATGTTTTGAGATACCTGGAAATATACAGGGGTGCCAGGGAATATGGTTACACAGGAATACAAATGAGGTACGCAAGGAGCCTAGTACATAAAGAATATCTATTGGCACTGTTTTGGGAGAACTCGGTCTGCCTGCAGATGCAAGGAAAGTGAGGGCTCTTGGAAGGGCTGAGGCGCAAAGTGTAAGGGAACGACCTGGTCTTCTCCAGAGCTCCTGAAGGTGGCGATGGATTGCGCTGTAAACAATTCTCAGGTTGCCGTTCTCTGAGAAGTGTTGCGTTTCCGGTGCATTTTGACCAGTGTGAAAGTATTGAGTGCGACTTTGATGCGACTTTACACTCTCTCGCACTAAAGTTGCATCAAAGTCACATCAAACTAGTGCAGGAACCTTTTCAAAGTCTTTGCGACTTTGAAAAGGTTCCTGCACTACTTTGATGCAACTTTACACACTCTGGTACTCACGTCACATCAAAATTGTACAGGAATATTTTCAAAGTCAATGACTTTGAAACAGTTCCTGCACTACTTTGATGCAACCTAAGTACCAGAGAGTGTGTAAATTTGCATCAAAGTCGCACTCAATACTTTTCTATTGAAAAAGACCCACCGAAAAAACACATTAATCACAACACACATAGGTGTGAACCAGGCTTGAATACCGATTGCTATATTGCTTTGGCCTGTGTGCTGGTGGGTGAGCTTATATATGTCTTTATTTATTTTAGGCATTAAGGAATCTGACACAGGACTTGCTCCTCCAGCACTCTGGGATCTGGCTGCTGATAAACAGACTCTGCAGAGTGAACAACCACTTCAGGTGGCCAGGTACTGATCTCTCAACTTCCATGCTGCTTTTTCAATGTTTGACCTTTTTGACTATGATAATTTATAGAGAATAAAAAAATGAACAGAGTGAATGTGTTGCATCACTAGTTATCTTGTGTTTCCTGATTAATATTACTATTTTTCTTTAACCAGGTGTACAAAAATTATCAATGCTGATTCTGAGGACCCGAAGTACATCATTAATGTTAAACAGTTTGCGAAGTTTGTGGTAGACCTCAGTGACCAGGTTGCTCCTACTGACATAGAAGAAGGAATGAGAGTTGGGTAAGAGCCATTGTTTGTTCTGTGGTGAAATCTAATCAATATTTGGTATTTATGTATTTTGGGTGAACTGTAAATGTTCTTTCCCATGTGTTTGTGTGCAGAGTGGACAGAAATAAATACCAAATTCATATACCCTTGCCTCCAAAAATTGACCCCACAGTTACTATGATGCAGGTAATGGTTGTCATCAAATTAAATGAGAAGTAAGCATAATTTCTGCTGTTTACTGAGAGCAATTTGCCTGCCCTCTCGTACAGGTGGAAGAGAAACCTGATGTGACCTACAGTGATGTTGGAGGCTGCAAGGAGCAGATAGAAAAGTTAAGGGAAGTTGTTGAAACTCCTTTGCTTCACGTGAGTAGATTTGATAAGGCCCTTATGATTTGTGTGATATTGAAGTCATTTAGTTCTATGGCTGGTATAAGATACGTCAAATTATTCATTGCTGCTTTTTAAGCCGTGAATATAATTTAGAATAGTGCTGTGTCTCCCAATGAACAATAAAATACTTTTGTTTTTCCTTTCTCCAGCCTGAACGGTTTGTTAATCTGGGTATCGAGCCACCAAAAGGAGTGCTTCTATTTGGCCCTCCAGGAACAGGAAAAACCCTTTGTGCACGTGCAGTAGCCAACAGGACTGATGCCTGCTTCATCCGAGTCATTGGCTCAGAACTGGTCCAGAAATATGTAGGAGAGGTGAGCTTTTGCATTTTCTGGTTATCGCCTAATCCAAGGTCCAGATAAAGATATATTTTTTCCAAAGAATTTGTACTAAAAAGCTCAATTTTCATAGCCCCATTTATAATTTCCTATCATGGTAATTACACAAATGTGACTGTGCTGTCCAGTGCACTTAAACATACCTGGTCAAACACCTTTCTTTAGCATAGATCCATGTGAGGACTCTTGTGATGAGGAGTGTGTCTGCTACTCTACTATATCAGCATCGAGTACTGGAATAGCAGGGCAAGAAACTGCATTTCTACTAAATGAAACAGTTATAGGACATTTGCTAGCCAATAAGAGAAAAAAGGGTGTTGGCTTTAAAACAAATATTTCACTTTCTTATATACCACAATTAATAACTGCATGCTAATGCATAGGTGTGAATGTGAGTGCACAGAACCTTTTTCATCCAAACCTTTCATTGAAAAATGTATAATTTTATACCCCTACAATAGTCACGCAGCCACTCACACGCTTACTATTCCTGTAGGTCATTTGTGCCCCTACTGATGCCTGACAGAAAAACTCCCATTATTCTTTAGAGTCCCATCCGGTCTTGTTCTTAAAACGATGCAGCTATTGGACGTTTGCCCCCAGCATCACAGGTGCAAACATTATCCTAGTTCAGTGCCCTGCACATGCTCAGTGTGATCTCCCCTGTCACTGCAGCTGAGCACAATGGCTGCAACATGGATGAGAGCACACACAGCACATGTGCATGGGCTCTGAAATGGGTTTTTTAAAGTTAATATGCTTGTTTGGTAACTACTTGGACACATGGACTACATAGGCTATTTTGTTACAAAGCTGAACTAACCCTTTAATTACAAATGTACTATATTTATTTATTTTGGCCAATTGAAGCGAATTTCACTTAATTTGATTCATTCTTTTCATTTGAGTTGGACTTGCCCTTTTAAGATTGTTGTGTACTTCAACCCAGAAGCTTAGCACTGTTTGTTTAACAAAAGTGAAGACTTGAAGGCTATGCGCTTATGTGCAAATGCAGCTTTCTTTGACCTCAAATCAAAGTTCTTCTGAGATCATGTAGAATTTATTGGCAAGTGCATTTGATTTGCAGTTGGTTGCCTTCAAAGCTGCATTTGACCGGTTTTCAAGCTGCTTTTGCATTCATACACGCTTATATGGCTAGAGAAGCAGTTGTGATGCGAACGAAAGCCAATGACACAGATACTGTCCCCCCCCCCCCCCCCCACCCCTCCTCCAGAATGCTGTATCCAGCTCTAGACACACTACCTCTGTCACAGTATAGATGCAGTGGGCCTGTAAGAAATTCATATATTTTTTTTTTCGTTCATTGAAGGCTTCTGCTTTAGATCATCAGTACTGGCTGTAGTGCCACCTACAGGGGTAGGATGCTAAGTACAATTAAGAAAAAAGACAGCCCAGGAGGTGTCTTCTGCTGGTGGCAAAATCCTCCCATACTGTGGAAAAAAATTTGGTTATTAGCCGAGCATCTAGGAATTAAGACATATAAATTTCCTCTTGGTAATCCTAGTATCTTTTGGTTTTACTTCAGGCAAGTCACCAGTTGGGTGACAGGCTTGATAATATAGATCTCCCCAATTTGCAGCCATTGAGCACATGCAGTCCTTGCCATGTGCAGGTTCGGCTGCTATTGCCCAGTTGTGTGCAGTCTGTGTGTCTCTTTTCCAACGGGGCACATATGATAGGCAAACTGGTTGATTGGCAGCATGTGGTGGTTTCTTGCCAACGTCTTGGGCAGATAACTGGGATTGCAGAAAGAGCTTCCCCCTAAGGTTGTAAGTAGAGGGATTCCCCCTCTTGTCTGCCTCCTCTTCCTTGCCCACCACCTCCCCCTTTTGCTCCTGTCTGTCTTCAGGGTAAAAAATATTTTTTGTTTTTATTGGGGTATGTGGAGGCTTCAGGGTTCCCTATAAAAGGGGTTGGCACTGGAGCTGGTAGGGAAACTGTTTGGCTGTGTGTGGCACTGACCTTTTAAGGCAGTATGGAAGGTGCACTGGCTCTGTAAGGAGTGCTGATCTTGTAGTGAACCTCTGAATGAGGGGTAGCCACAGCTTACAGTATCCAGGGCACTTTTTTCTTATGAATTTGCTGTGAGCTGCAGCAGCTGTCCGGGGAAGACTGCAAAGGCCATCTTGGTTGAGGGTTTCTGCCCTCAGTGGAGCAGGATCTGGAAGAGGCAATGCAAGCTACAGGACCTGCATGTGTGTCTGCATACTGCCTCTTTGGATTGGCTGGACCAGGGATGCTGTCGGCTCAAGGCTCAATGGCAAGCTGTCTCTCCTGCTGGATGTTTTTCAGCTGCAGAGACCAGGGCAGTGTTTACTCCAGGGACTACTAGGTACTTACAGTTGATGGGTCCCAAGCTTATGCTCTACAGGGATCCCCTTTTTTTGCCCCTAAATATGGTATGACGATGCAAGGGATCTATTTTGCATTGCCTCCCTGCCTCAAATTACTTCAGGACCATCCTCATTCTTGGACTACCTAATGTTAATTTTGAAAGATCTGAATCGGGGAGAGTGGGACCTTCACCCAAATATCTAACAGCTATGGGAACACTCGGCAGCGGGTAGGAGCCAGGAACATTGGTGGGGGACCTGAGCAGAGGAGGTTTGGGGCTGCTCTGTGAAAAACCCTAGAACAGAGCAGGTAAGTATAACATGTTTTATTAAAAACAAATATACATTTTTAGTATCTCTTTAGACTGTACCTAAAATCCTACTCCTGCATTTGGCACTAAAATAGAAGCTGTCTCCTCCATTGAAAGTGGGGAAGGGGAACAGATTTTGCATTTTTTTGGAATTATAAGGAAAATTGAGAAATGTTGATTTGTCTATTCATGTTACAGGGTGCTAGAATGGTGCGTGAGCTGTTCGAAATGGCCAGGACAAAGAAAGCCTGCCTCATTTTCTTTGATGAAATTGATGCCATTGGTGGTATGTATTACTAACACTAAGCAGGGTTTGGAGAAGTTTTTAATCAAAATGACTATTGGTACTGTTATAAATTATTTTCACTTTTAAGTTCTGACATGTGAGGCACGATAAGTGCTGACATGTTCTCCTTTGTAAAATCATGGTGGTGTTATTGCCCAGTGTTTCGCAGCGGATAAACAATGGCATCTCAAAGACTGCTCCTCCTACCTGATGAGAGGAACGCCCCTCCTCGGTGCTTTTGTTTTACCTTTTGTAGGAGGAAATCAAAAACTCTTTAGCTTAGGAAGCACCAGATTAGATCCTTTTTGTTATTTCTAATGTCCACTGTTTACCCTGGACATTTTTTCATGGTCTCTAGCTTTAAGCATGGCTGGCTGGATGGCGGGAAAAAAAAACAAACCTGATTCCCTCATCCACACATTCTGTGTGGCTGTGGGAATCCTCCCTGCTGTGTCTTTGTATTGTGACTGCCAGCGGGGAGACTCCTCCGCCTCCCTGCTGTCAGAATACACTGATCAGAGTCACAGCCTACTGGCTGCAATAAGCTGGGAGTGAAGACATGGTGCAGTCCTGTCAGCACTCCCTCCTCTTGCCTGCAGTTGCTGCTGGTGGACACATTCCTGCTGAATCACATGACTGGAATGGAGCAGGTTGAAAATATACATCTTTCTTACACAGGTTAGTCAACATAGATGTTTGTAGGGGGAGGGGACCATTTTTAAGACTAGTTAGGTTTCAGCTAGAATTCTACTTTAAAATGTATTATTGTTTCATTAGGAGAAAAAGCAACCAGACCTCTGATCTGACACCCACCCCTATTGGGATACAAGAGCAGTCTCTGAGTTTGATCTGTTAGAAGTGAATTGTGGATATTACATTAGCAGTAGGAGTGTTCTTGTGGCTGATCTCAGGGCCTGTTCACACAACAAAGTCATTCTGAATGTCTTTCTGCAAGCAATTCACACCACAAAAACAGCACTCCATGTTGGTGAGAACAAGAGCTTCTTCCCCACAACCCTGGCCTGGTGGTTGTGTTAGTTCTGGGGTAGCGTATCAGAATTTAAGTTATGGGGTGGGGCCTCCCAAGTGCTGTCATGGTGGTGGGGCCACTTGGTGACTTCACTGGGTGGCCCCGTCCCCATTATTACAGAGAAGTGGCTGTCATTTGGCAAGTGTCTGTTGATGGGAGCGGCCATGTTCGCCAGTCAGTTTTTTTTTTTTTAACCACTTCAAGTCTGGACACTTTTGCAATTTTGCAAATAATGTTTCTTCATTTTGGGGTAAAAATTACCCAAAACAGTTTATATTATTTAGACTGTGTGAAAGATAGACTACAAACTATGGGATATATATTTGAAAATTGATCAGTTGAGATCCTAAAATGCCAGACGCTGGTATGGCATATGGCAGTGATTCGGATGCTGGTATGGGGTATGGCTGTGATCAGGACATTAGCATGAGGTATGGCGGTTATCAGGACGCTGGTATGACAGTAGCCAGAATGCTGGAATGGGGTATTGCTGTTATCAGGATGCTGGTATGGGGTATGGCGGTGTTCAGGATGCTGGTATGGGGTATGGCGGTGTTCAGGATGCTGGTATGGGGTATGGCGGTGTTCAGGATGCTGGTATGGGGTATGGCGGTGTTCAGGACACTGGTATGGCAGTGTTCAGGGAACTTGTATGGGGTGTGGTGGTTATCAGGGCGCAGGTATGGGGGTGTTTCGTGTGCACTGGGACAGGTGACAGGGCCTCCCTGCATTATTTATTATGTAGATACTGGGACAGTGATCAGGCAGGCTGCTGTACACTCACACACTGCAGGATCACTTCTCTCTGCTCTCACACTGAGAGCGGAGAGAAGCAATCTTTACTTTCAGTTTCATTGTTTACTTGGGGAGTGCTGTGATTGGTCACAGCAGTCACATGGTAAAACACCATGTGATCGCCCTAACACAGCAGTAATGTGATCTGTTGTGTCCAGGCGACATACCGACCACTGGTATCTTAGGTATGCGATCTGTGAGCCATGCACGAGCCATCGATGCGGGCTGACGTACAAGAACGTTAGTTTGCATCGTCGTTGCTTCCCTTCCTCTGTGTATGTAGAATGGGCGGATGGGAAGCGGTTAAATAAACCACTTGTCAAAAACTGTCTGCGAGTGTCCGCTCCTAACAACTAAAAGAAATTGCAGGAAAAAATGCATTGCAGGGCATTTTGATGTATTTTGCCTGTGTTCCAGTGCAGTTCCATGCAGAAAAAAAATCAGCATGTTCTAATTAATTTTGACTGCACTGGTGTGAACTATGCCGTTGAAAACAATATAAACTGTCCATGCATCTGGTGCACCCTGGCCCTCAGTGAAATTTGAAGAGATGGAAACCTGTTTCTTGAATTAGGAAAAGGCTTACAGGTTCATGGACTTTTTTGTTAGTGTCAAATTCGTAAAGCTTTTCCATGTTGATCAAAAAGTGGATTCCTGCATGGAACTAGTGAATAATAAGTCCCTTTATTGTACATATACTTGTATTTATGACCGCTTACTCTAGGTCCAAGCATGGGGGACCCATTTACATCAAGCTGATCTCTTGTGGTGTTTTTAACATATGTGTTGTGTTAGGGCCCTTTAACACGAGTAATTTTGCATTTCGATCAGCAGGGTGCTCTGTTGGGTCCCCCCCAACAGCTCTGCTCTCTGCACAGGCTATGTACAGCACTGTGATGATGCTACCACGGATTTGTACATTTTTTGTAACTGTCATACTATATGTGTACTATTGTAATTCTATTAAATGCTTGATAGGTGCCAGATTTGATGATGGAGCAGGAGGTGACAATGAAGTCCAGAGAACTATGTTGGAACTCATCAATCAGTTGGATGGGTTTGATCCCAGAGGAAATATTAAAGTGTTAATGGCCACAAACAGACCTGACACATTGGACCCAGCTTTGATGAGGCCTGGCAGACTGGACAGAAAAATTGAATTCAGCTTACCTGATCTTGAGGTAAAGAGGAATCGCAACAGACCATTGCATAAATCTTAGCCTGGAATGTACATTAAAATTAAACACTCGTAACTAATGAAATGATGCTGGCCATGGACACGGCAGTTGTTGAGCAATTTATTTAGCTGTAGCTTGCATGAAATGATTGAATGCAACATAGGACCAGTAGTTTGAGCCCATGATGTCGTCAAACCTATTGCTGGAGGTTGCCTTGATCTGTTTAGTGTTGCACACTTGTGTTGAAGGTGCAAAGTCAAGGGCTGTCACTGTTATCCTCCTTTGCTGTAAATCACTCAACTAAAGCAAATATGCAGATCAGATATGAAGATTTACAAATTCAGGTAATTCAAGACCTGGGTTGGCAACCCTGGGCGCTAGTATGAAATAGCTTTTTTTTTTTTTTTTTTTTTTTCCCCCTCTTTATCTCTCTTAAAGTGAAGTCAAAAATCTAAGGCTAAAATCTACTCCCAACCCCCATTCTAAACCTATTCTGTCTGCTCTGTGAAGAAATGATCTGTATACTTACCTATTGTGAAGCCGCTCTGGTTCAGTTACAATCTCTGGCGGCTACTGTGTAAAGAAGTGATCGCCGACAATGACTGCAGATGCCTGGGAGATGAGGTCACCCATTATGCTTACTATGGGGCATCTGTTGTCAGCTGTCCCTCTACATTGAAGCCGTCACTGTCAGCTGATCATGGGACTGAAACCAGAGTGGCTTCAGAAGTAGGTATGTATGCAGATCTTTTCTTTACAGGGTTAGGTAGAATAGGCTTAGTATGGGGGTTGGGAGTAGGTTTAGTCTTCGTTAGATTTTGAGTAAACTTCCACTTTAGCGCAGTTTGTATTTTTATCTGGCACATTCTGTATTCATGTGTTAAGAGCGAGTGTGCAGACCACAAAAAAAAAAAAAAAAAAATTGTATCTCTTTATAAGAACTAGTATGTGAAGGGTGATGTTATGTGGTTAAAGTGTGTGTGTGTGTGTGTGTGTGTGTGTAATAGCAACAATTTTTTTTTTTTTTTTTTTCCCTTTTGGAAGTAGTTTTGGGTATAGTAGGGAAGGATAGACCCTCTGCCAAGTTTTTGATTTTATGTGTCCTTGCTAGGGGGACCCTTCTGGTGGCAACAGAGACAGAGTTGAATTCTGTCATATGAAGTGATGAGGGAAAATCTTTCAATGTGGACATTTGCTAATGAGCCATAACTTTGAGCCCTGACAGGTTGAGTGACACTGATTATCTCATTACAATTGAGGTGTTGATTTGGTCTCCAAATTTTCCAGATCTCAACACATTGGAGCAGCTGTGGGCTGTGCTGGAAAAAAAATGTCTGATCCATGGAGGCCCCACTCTCCAATTTGCAGGTCTTAAAGGATCTGCTATTAACGGCTTGGTGCCAGATACCACAACATACCTTTAAGAGGTCTAGTGGTGTCAGGTTTAGACAGGTCAGGGCTGTTTTAGGGGCAAAAGGTGAACCTACTTTATATTAGGTGGATGGTGATAAAAAGTTTTGTTGGATTAGTTTATAATCGGGTGACAACTGTCTAATATAAGTTTCCTTCCTTTTGGGAGATTTCCTCTGTTTACCTGTTGCATTTGTAGAACATAAAGCAAATTATCCCCCCTCAAGAGACCGCAAAAGAAAATTCTGACTGGGGCTTAAATTCCCTATTGTAGCCCCAAAAAAATAAAATTCACCATACAGATATACACAGTTGTGCTCAAAGGTTTGCAGGCAGAAATTGTGAAATTTTGCTATTTATAGTAAATAAGACTTTTTTTTGCATTATCAGTCATATTTTCAAGGATAGTGATCATATGAAGCCACTTATTATCACATAATTGTTTGGCTCCTTTTTCAACCACTTGCCCTCCTTAGGATTTACTCCCCTTCCTGACCAGGCCATATTTCTGCGTTACTTTAACTGACAATTGCACGGTCATGCATCGTTGCACCCAAATGAAATTTACATCTCTCCTCCCCAAATTGTTTTTTGTCTGTTTTTATTCTTTGCGCTATAAAAAAAAAAAAAAAACATTTTGAGGGAAAAAAAAAAAGTTTGACTTTGTTATTAAAATTGTCAGAGAAAATCAAATTTTGTCATAAATTTAGGCCAAAATATATTCTGCTACATATCTTTGCTGAAGAAAAAAAAAAATAATGCCAATACGTGTAAAGTTATAGCATTTACTAATGGCGGTATATATACTGGAATTTTTTTTTAACTAGTAAGGGCGGCGATCAGCAACTTATAGCGGAATTGCGGCGGGCATTCTGACACTGGGGGAACTGATGGCACTGGGCGGGCGGGAAGGGACATCATACATGAGGGACGATCAAACTGTTAACTGTCCTGGGAGTAGTTTAGTGGGGGGCGGTGTGTTTGTGCTTCACTGTAAGCACACTGCTCTGGATGGTTGTGCTGAGCTGACAGGGAGGAGGACTGTTAGTAAACAAAGCAGCCCTCCTCCCCGTTGGAGATCATCGGCCAGAACCCCGGTGCTTGATGGCCGCATGCCCGCTACCCAGAAATACAAAATCACGTGTATATATACACGTGCTTTTGCGCACCCCTGCAGCAGTATTTCTGCTATAGGGTGGTGGGGATGCGGTTAAATCAGAATAACAGAAATTACCCAAATTGCTCTGATTAAATGTTTACATACCCTGGAAGTATGATTGACTTTGCTGCAGGTACACAGGGTGACACATGGGTTAAAATGGCAATTAAGGTTAATTGCAATTAGTATCTGTGTATAAATAATCAAGGAATTTGGTAGCTCTTACATGGATGCACTAAGCAGGCTGGATAGGGAGCAGAAAAGAACTTTCAAAAGACCTGCATAACAAGGTAATGGAACTTTATCAAGATATAAAAGATATCCAAAGCCTTGAATATACCAGTCAGTACTTGTTCAATCACTTATTAAGAAGTGGAAAGTTCAAGGTTACAATATGCCTGACAACACCTTGACATGTTTGGCTGTCACAGCGGTCTCATGATCAGAAAGCTCCTGACCACAAGTGGAGATTGGGAGCTTTCCGTTAACTGTCTGTAATTATGCCTGGAGCGTGCACGGTATGTACTCATCGAGAGGCTGCATATATGTGCGCGGCCACCACTAAGGAGGTAAATAAGACAGGGTTTTGTTTTTTTGCCATGATCTGTTATATTTTCAATATAAGTGCCAAAATGTTACCGTTTGTGCCAGGTATGCATTTTGAGCACAACTGTAAAATGTTCACACCATGAATCATAGAGTAATGTGTTGTGTAATTCACATGTGATCTAGGTGCAGTGCAATTTCAGCCCATTCATTTGAATGGGCTGAAATCATGCCAGACTGCATCATTAGTGCATGCACTAGTTAAAAAAAAAAAAAAAACACACATGTTTCAACTGGTTTGCATGGTACCATGCAATCTGGTACAGGCAAACACTGTCTTTGTGACCTGTGTTAGGGGTGTCATTAATATCCACTGCAGATCGCAGCTGCAGTGTGTTTTTGAATGTGCACAGAAAGCTGGTTTCCTTCACGTTCTGGTGTGAACATGGTGCTTAGGAGGAAAGAAAATGGACTGTAGACCATTCATGCCGATTTTTTTTTTTTTTTTTTTTTTTCTCTTTTCCCCCTAGTACTGCTTTTTGATAAAACCTTTTTTTTTCTTTTCTTTCTTGTAGGGTCGTACACACATATTTAAGATTCATGCTCGTTCCATGAGTGTTGAGCGAGATATAAGATTTGAGCTGCTAGCACGATTATGTCCAAACAGTACAGGTAATGTATAATCCTTATCTTATGATGCTTTTTGTTTGTGACCTGTCATGAAATGCCATGGTTCGTGTATGTCTTGGTTATACAGCTTGTCTAGTATAGTACTACGTCTAGAAAAGCATCTTATACACGTTTGTATTTATTATAATTGTGTTTGTTGACTAGGAGCTGAAATCCGCAGTGTTTGCACTGAAGCAGGAATGTTTGCCATTAGAGCACGTCGCAAAGTTGCAACAGAGAAGGATTTCTTGGAGGCTGTAAATAAGGTCATCAAGTCATATGCAAAGTTCAGTGCAACACCCAGATACATGACCTACAATTAAATCTATACGTAAGAATTGTTTTTCTAGACCCCACTTCTGGTCAATGGATGCTGATCCGATGTTTTTTTTGCTTTATTAGCTATTTTGTGTGTTTTGGATAAAAACATCATTCCCTTCAACAATATAAATAAAGGTATTTACACAGTGCGTGCGTGTTTTGGTAATTTTTTAGAGTGATTTTCAAATCTTTGGAAAAGGTTTATTAAATAAACCAAACAATACATTTTGCTGTCAATTCACTTTATTTTGATTTGCAAAAACATTTTGTCCATATGTTAACCTTTCAGCACATTCTTTTTCTAAGAAGGCAATTTTGCTTTTAGTATTTAACATTAAAATATATATATCTAGAAAAATATACTATCAGCAAATAAAATACACCAACCATTTCAAAATAATTAAGTAAACATAACTTCTTAAAAATCAAGTTTAGCACTTTTTTTTCCAAATAACAGCTTAGATGTAACACCGCTTTTTCACTCATAACAATATAAAAAAAATAGTTGAAACAATATATAGATTTACCATATTGAGCAACCTGTTCTGTGAAGGTTCAGTAATCTACTTCACAAAGAATGACACATGATTCAAGCACAAAGTGAATGGGCATTAAAAAAAAAAAAAAAAGTCTAAAAAAAAGGGAAAAAACAGCCCTTATACATCCAGTTAGATTCTCAGTTTTCTTTTTCCCTTACCCCTGGAAACAAAAAGGGGATATATTCATTTTTCTGAGTGATAATTGTTCTTTCTTGATTCACTTTAAGCACAATGCCCATTGTGTCTCAGCTTGTGATTGTACAGAGTGCATTTGTTTTCTTCTATTCCAGGTAGCAGTATTAAATAGTAACATTTTGTTTCTGTATTAGCTGATAGTTAACCTGTGGCCTCGTGTGTGTAAAAAAAAAAAAAAAAAAAAAAAAAAGGAAGTTGCTAGTAGCGGCTTTTGAGGATCTAATATAGATCGGTCTAATAAAACAAACAAGACACCCCCCTCAAAGGCCGCTAGCAGCAAGTACACATTAAGGTACCAAGATGTAGGTCTGTAAGTACATACATACAGGAGTGGCATATCAGTGTGCAACAAAAACAACCTGTGTTCGTATCATCAGCCATGGTCACAACAGGAAAGAGGCTGGTACCTTCTAAAGTGGTTGCTTAGGAAAGCAGTGCTACCTATATAGACTACAGATAGACTTTTGCCCCATTTGTTAAGGTGCAGAGACTAAAGCAATGCTGGACCAGGTCAAAGAACACTAGCATTAAACAAAGGCTGAAAGACTTTTCTGATAAATCCCATGAAGGCACAAAATACCTCCAGCTGTGAAGGGTTTAAAAAGGAGTTAAAAAGTCAGCTATAAGTTCTGTAGTTGCTGACTTTCACAAAAACACATTTACCAGCCCATGAAGTCAGTGGAGTCTTCACAGGTTTTTATTATTATTTCTCTCACACCCCATCCTTTAATCAGGATTTAGCTGTTCCTTCCTGATCACTTAGCCAATGCTGAGGAGTGGTTGCAGATGTACCAGACCAATGGATGTTGGAGAAGCTGTCCTGGAATATGTGATGTGTATCCCAGGGGGCTATGTCATCCCCACCTCTTGGAGCAAAGAGAAAGTGGGTGCAAGCGCTACAAAAAAAAAAAAAAAAAAAAAATACCCGTGACTGGTAATAAGCTGGAGGAAAGAATAATAATGATGGGAAGTATGATTTTTGGGGTGAAGGTCTGCTTTAATGATGAAAGGTATTGTATACATGGGGGGAGGACTCTACAGCGCTGTGGGGTGGTTGTTAGTATAGCTTCTTATGGGGGGGGGGGGGGGGGGTTTTAGGATATATATACACATTCAATAACATGCTCAGCTTAAAGCCTTTAAACACAGAGTTTCCATTCTTGGATGAAAAACAGACAGCAATTAATCCCTAGTTGCCCCTGGAACAAGGCTGTGCTCTTTTATGTTCAGGTTGATCTGAAACAGATGCTACCTGTTTAGGCAAGAAATATCTTTGTTTATACTTTTGTCACTTATGACTGGCTGCAGTGAGAAGAGAAAGAAAAAAGCAAAACCGGATGTAGACTGCAGGCGGATGTATAAACTGATGGAAGCTGCATCTACTTGCAGCTGGGTTTTTTTCACTGCAAAACATGACCAAACTGATGACACCCATGTGCTAGGACCTTAAAAGATACCTTTATTTATGACCTGTGGACGTTGCAATGCCCATTCATTGGCTTTACCACTGTAAGCCAGTGACCCAGAATTAGTATACAGGAAAGGATCTCTGTGACTCTCCTGTTATAGAATGTGTCACAATAAACTGAAGACAGATTTTTCTATAATAAACCATTGGTACCACATCCTAATCATTCTTGAAAATTTCATTTATGTACAGTTCTGTCTAAAGCAAATCAGGAGGAGTAAAAATCTGGTATGCATATATCATAATTGAGAAAAAAAAAAAACAACCCCCACATCAAATGTGCAAACACTGAGGAGCAGCTGTACACTTACAGCCCGAGACTGTACATGATTTCACTGTCACTACACATTGTACTAGGGGACAGTAGATCAACACTGACCAGCTGCCTATCAGGGGTGCTTGTAAATTTGGCATATAACAGCAGCAAAATTGGCAAGAAGATCCTATACAAAACATGTTTACAAACCCAACCCTGTCTTAAAAATAAAAAAGGAACCTGTACTTAGAGAATATGAGCCTACCACTACTGATCCTTTTCTAGGAATTCCAGTTACCTGACTGGCCCTGATGTGACTAAATTGCCAAGTGTCAACGCAAGCAAGTTCCTGACAAAAACATTTTTTTCACTCTACCTCCCATCCCCTTCTACCCCATCCTTACACCCCCTCCCATGCGTCTCTTGATGAGTGTTGCTTTAACCCCTTCACTCCTAAGGGTAAAACAAATCTTAAGTACAATTTTACAACTTTGACATGTGTTAGTAAAACCGTACATATCATCACAACTACTTTGTACATTCAGGTGAATTATACCTTGTTTTTTTTTTTTAGGACAAATTGAGCTTTCATTTGGTGGTAAATAGTAATTGATAATAAAAATAAAAAAGCAGGAGATATCCAAGGAAAACTGGCCCAAAATAATAATAAATTTTTTTTTTTAAATTTAGCTGTGTGTTTCTCGTTACTACCATAACCTACCACCACCACCCAAAAATACGTTTTACAGCTTCTGACGATTGCAGCAATACCATATATGTGTATGTTATTTGTATCTGTACTACAGCTCAGAAACAATGTGTGTTTTAGGTAAAAAAAAATAACCAAAATGCACACTAGACACTGATATCAATTTAATAAAAAAAAAAAAAATCTCTCCCCTCCATTCAGAGAGAAGAAGAGGAAAGAAAAAAAAAAAGCAAGGGGGCAGGCTTCAGTGACTGATCACTGTGATAGCCAATCAGAGGCTATGACAGCAATTATGTGACACAGAATCGGGAGTTCCGGGTCCTGAGTATTAGAACGGGGCCCAGGGCTCTCAGTGACACCCCGGTCTTTCATGCTGGGAGCTCACTGTGCAGCACGCTCCCAGCACAAAGACAGGTACGCAAATATGCAGCCCCAAGGAAAAAAAAGCCCAGTTCTGTGAGGCTGCATATTTGTGTTATGTCGGCACTAAGGGGTTAAACAAGCCTGCAGATTAGAAAGTCAGAGTGAAGTCCATCCTAGGTCAAAATAGAAGCCAATGCAAGAGAATGAAATCCAGAAGAGTATCATTCTCAGTTGGGGAGGTAAGCAATAGAAGTCACCATATTTTTATATTACAGGTTTACTTTTAAGTGCCTTTTCCCTAAACCTACTGGGAACTATTTTGTAGTGCCCATCTGACCTCTTCCTAAGCAAGCCAGAAACTGAAGTACACACCTGACCCCTGAGCATACTGGATACATTCTGCAACTAAAAACTACAAACCTTCAAGTGAACTTGACCTAGCCTTTAGCGCTCTTGTTATCTAGAAAACATTAAAGCGTTAGCTTTCAAACCAAACCCGTTGTTCAGCCTCTAGTATTCTAGTCCTATGCTGTATATGGGGAATATTTATGCCATGCTCCTTGTTATTGAACTGTTAAATGCCAGAGTTTAAATGTGTTCATTGTCTGTATAGAATTCAGCCTATTTACGAATAGTAAATACAGCAAACATTTGCAAAGTTTTCGAGAAAGGTACAACTCACTACTCTTATACAAGTTGAAGCGTGCGTAATCAAGACCTTAACATTACTGGGCATTTGACAGCTTAATGACAGTGAGAGGGTTTTATATCATCATGGGCAGGGCTTAGACCTCGTTCACACCATACGTTCATAAAAAACTGATGGAAAAACCGTGCAGATTGCGCTTGCAAAAACACAAGTTTACATCAGTTTTGATGCGTGTCTCAGTTAGTTTTATACATGTTGCAGATTCCTGCACAGAAAAAAATCCAAATATGATCCCAGTGTTGTGGTGTGAACAGAGCACATAGAGAACAATTGTTTTCTTTGTGCCCTTGCAGAACACATGCAGAAAAATTCACGTCTCTGCACCATGGTGTGATTGAGGCCTCAATTTCTTTAGCAGAAGTCAAAGTCTCATGTACAGTCTAGAGCCAGGATCCCAAAAGCTCCACACAGACAGAGATCAATCTAAAGACTAATATAGGTACATGTAGACACATAAATCACCTCTACTTTAGCCCTGTTGCACCTTTTTTTGGCCTGGTCAACATTATATAGGAGGGGCATGTTAATACAACATTATATAGGAGGGGCATGTTAATACAACATTATATAGGAGGGGCATGTTAATACAACATTATATAGGAGGGGCATGTTAATACAACATTATATAGGAGGGGCATGTTAATACAACATTATATAGGAGGGGCATGTTAACACAAGCTGTAACTGACAATTTCAGTTTTTTTTGTTACCAATTGTACCATCCGGAGTCTCACACACAGGCTCTCAGCACATATTCATCTGCAGCTACACTGTAGCATAGCAAGCATTATAACATTGTGTGAATGGATACCAAGACAAACCTACAAACTACTGCCATTTGTAAAGGTGTAGAGAACATATATACTCATACTGTAACACTGTTTAATATCAGGATCAAGGGGCATTACTATCATGATTTCTAGTAATGTGGATCCTTTTGTTTTGGTTAAATTTAAATAAAATTGTCCAGTAACACACCATGTAAACACACGCTAAATTAATTAAAAACCCTTAAACATGTAACAGGAAATTACTTATACATACACAACATGTATTTAACCAATCATTGAACCCATCCTGATGAAAATAGCATTCCTATTTCCAACATAACGGTGCAAAGTACAAGAACTGGCGATTGGGGCGAGGAGCTTCACAGTTGTGCGGTATTATTAAGGCTTCTGTGTTTGCTGTTAATTTCCATAGCTAGGACATTACATGTATCACTACAAATAATGCACATCAATGACTGTGCACCTAGATATCTAGTGATCGTTATTTTGAGGTACCTTGAGGTTCTCTACTAAATTGTTCCAGTTCTTGCTCATCTTATTGAGATTTTCATAATTTAAACACCTGGAATGTGCTTCATTTTTGGCTTTAAAATAAGTGAACATTCCAACCAAATTCTGTAAGAAAAGACAACGCATTACTCCACTGAATGGGTGTCAGCCATCCCTCTTTCATGACATGTAGTTTTAGGTCATGTCATCAACACGCACGGCACCTGCTCAAACCACACGTAGTGAGACACTCCAATGTGAAATGGAGACTGAATACTAATATTAAAAATGTAGAAAAGTGCAACTGAAAGCCAATAATTTAAGGGAAGTAAAATGGGATATTTAAACAACTAGAGTTGCTCCCAGGGTATAAATGTCTTTTACACCATTTTATAGGGGAAAATATAAAAGGAACTGTATAAGCCGGTATGGCTTATAGGTATGTAACAGGAGCTAAACAGTATAAAGCCAGCAATTAAACCAGCCCTTTAGCCTTAGAGTGGTTCAAAGTGCGTGAACAAAGCAGGATTTCCAGTTTAATATCTGAAAGGTAAAAAATTCTCCTTTGTATTTGCTAGTATGATCTGAGGCAATCGGGAGACACATTTTGGGAACGTCAGAACTGGCTTGGGGTGTCAGAGCTCAAGACCTGCTCTTCTGAAGATGTGAGAGCCAGGGATGAAGCTCTAAATTTGCACTGGATAACAGCATCATGAATACTGTGAAAAATGATGTCTCTTCTTATACTCTTATCAAAGAAATTCAACCTGGTTAGATCTTGTACAACCAGCCCTGTGAAAAAAAACAAAAAACAAAAACACTAGTACATTTAGGGACCTTTCTATTTTTTTCTAATTTATATATGTATGTCATAATTTGCATATTGATTTAATTACTTATCCCAACAATGAACTAAAAGGGGTTGGGAATTAAAAAGAACCAGGCTAAGCAAGCCAAAAACAAAACAAAAACGTAAAAAAGGAACAATAAAAGTAAGATTTAACATTGCATAGTTGGAGGTATACAGTATAATGAATCAAACATAGCTGCATTTGCTGATCAGACAAACGTTAGTTCATTTGAAAAAAATTCTTAATCATTGCTATGGGCAATGTTTCCACTTTTGCTTTGTGCAATTGTCCAGCTTGAAAAGCATGCAATTTAACTAGATTAAATGATTTGGGAATGAGTGCAGGTACCATTCCCAGTCATTGTATAACCTAGGGCAGGGGTGGGCAACTGTGGCCCTCCAGCTGTTGTAGAACTACAAGTCCCATGAGGCATTGCAAAACTGACAGTTACAAGCATGACTCCCAAAGGCAGAGGCATGATGGGACTTGTAGTTCACCAACAGCCGGAGGGCCACAAGTGCCCACCCCTGACCTAGGGGATTCCTGACACATGTACAGATACATAACTTACCATTGCAGCCAGAGAGGATGATATCAACCCCAATTTCTTTGTATTCTTTAATAATCTATCAAAGTGAAATAAAGGACAACTTTAGTTGCTCATTCTAAGTAAAGCGGTGTCCTGCAATGGATGGCAGAAAAATACAAATACAGAAAAAAAAATGACTCAATAATCCAGGTTAAAAAAGAAAACAAATGACTGTGTGAAAAGTTTTCTGAATGCATTAGACACTGGGGTTGATTTACTAAAACCGGAGGAGTACAAAATCGAATTCAGCTCTGCAAAGAAACCAATCAGCTTCTAGTTTTTTTTGTCAAAGCTTAACTGAACAAGCTGAAGTTAGACGCGGATTGGGTACCATGCTCAGCTATACCAGATTTTGCACTCTCCAGTTTTAGTAAATCAACCCTACTTTGCAAGATCAATTATTAACATAAGTAATGTTTTTTTATAACAGGTTCTTTTAAAAGCAAGCCCCCTGCCAGCTTATACATACCATACCTCCACTTTTCTGCCCATATCTTTCCTCTGAGAGTGGGAAGATAAAGCCCTGTATTTTGTGTAAGCTCAAAGTGAGATGGAGGTAATACAGGGTAGAGGTTTCTCTCCCCATCCCTATGAAGTAGAACAGCTACCAAAGAGGCCAATTGCCAAGCACCAGCACTGCCACGTGGAAAGAAGCTGCTATAGAGGTCAGCATTAAAGTGAATGGCATGGACAAAGTGCAGGTTCACTTAGAATTAGTACCAAACAGCAACAAGATTTCCATATACTGTCAGTAAATCAATGCAAGATAATGACTGATTGGTTGCTATGGGTTAATGCACAGGAGTGGAAATTTTTGAAAAAAAAAAAACTACTTATCCAGGGACTAACTTGGTGTCCCAATCTACTTGTCCCTCATTACAATCTACTTGTCCAGATAATTTTTTTTTTTTTTTTTTTTTAACCAAAACCAAATTTAAATCAGAGGTGATATTAGGAATGTTTTAAAAACAAGGACGTTTTATGGTGATTTAAACGTACAATATTTTTAACATTGTGCTGTTTATCTCCTTATCCCCTCCCTGCCTGTCTCCAGCATTGTCTCCCAGGGACTAGCAGGGAGCAGAGACCTTGCAGTGTAATGAGCACTGATTGGGTGCTTGTCAGGAAAGGGGAGTGTCGGGTTTATCCTTTATCACTTTCGCTGTCAGAGCCGTTTTTGTGTTTTTTGCACAAGATTTAAAAAAAAACAATTTTAGGCCTGAAGATTACACAAAACCCCCAAACATTATATATTTTGTGAAATCAGAGACCCTAAAAAATAAAATAGTGGTAGTTCCAATTATTCACATATTACCGCAAAATTTCAGTAAAAAATACAAGTTAGTTAATTTTAGGGCACAAAAATAAAAAAAAAAAGCAATAAATTACCCTTTTTTTTGTAAAATATAAAAGACGAGGTTGCAGCGAGTAAATAGATATCCAACTTATCAAACTTTAAATTTGCATGCACCCATGACATTGCAACAAATTTCAGTACCCCATATCTTCTATAGGTTACACTTTTAAAGCCCCTTCTAGGTCATCGGTGTGGTGTTATGGAAGAGGTCTGGTGCTAGAATTATTGCTCTCATTCTGGCATGCGCGGTGATATGCAACGTGTGCTGCAATTGCCGTTTTCATGCGTAGGGGCCCAGTGTGTGCTTTTACGTTTGTACATGCGTATGTGGGGGGCTCAATTTTTTTGAGGGGGAGAGGTTATGTACTTGGTGTAACTTTAATGTTTTACAATTTACAACAAATTTTTTTTTTTTTTTTTTAACTTAATTCTTTTTTTCATCACATAGAGGACAATGTCCCCTATGTGATGATTTTTTGGTGACAGGTTCTCTTTATTGAGAGATCTAAGGTCTAAGAGTCCCTGGATGTCTCCCCGCTGCTCCCCTGAATGTAATGCAGTGCACATCGCCTCTAGCCCCCAGCGGTGAGCCAGTCCCACAGATGGGCAAGCGGAGCCCGGGAGACAGTGGGCGGGGGGAGGAGAGGCTGGCACTGTGTGGAAGCATTCCGGTGGCAGTGCGGCCACCTGAATGCTTGCACCTGATAGGTGAGCCCACTGCTTGCCCCCAGCAGGGTTGAAAGTAAAGAAAAAACTACCTGCCCGGTGCTCGGAACTACATGTCCCGGGCGTTGGGCGATAGGAATTCAACATCCCTGATGCAGTTTGCTCTTTACTATAATAAAATAACAAAAAAACAAAGCAAAAAAAAAAAAAAAAAAAAAAAAGGACAAATGATGTACACCACTTACAGTCTTAAGTGTTTTGACTCCAACAGAATCTACAAAGTTTACAGGTGTGAAGTCCAGCACAATCGTGTTAATATTGATGACTGGAGTCATAAAGTAGTGCAACTCCTCAGGAGGAGAATTGTGCAGATTGCCATCAGCAGATCCATTTGTAACATTTCCAGAATAGTCTGTTATTGGTTCATCATTCATCAGTTCATGTTTCGCTGCCATTTCCACATCATTTGTCTGGAAAAAAAAAGCCCCAGAAGATATGACATTTACCTGGGTATTAGTGATGGAAATGCAAACAGAAGCCTTCTGTCAGTGGCAATAAATGTGTGTAATTCAGAGAAAATTGCCTAAAGTGTTTCTAGAACTGAAAGCATTTGTATGTACCATTAGTTTTGTTATGACAACATTAGTTGTGTACATCGCAAACAGCTGTGCTATTTTCCTAAGCCTTTTGCTGCTAGAGCAGTTATTGCATTTTTTGCACACGTTTAAAAAATCATTTTAGCCCTGAAGATAACACAAGACCCCCCAAACATTATTTTGTGAAAGCAGACACCCTAGAGAATAAAATGGTGGTAGTACCAATTTTTTATGTTACACGATATGAGCGCAAAGGTCTAGGAAATGCAACATTTCTGTAAAAAAACATTAAAGTTAATTTAGGGCACACAAACACAATAAATTACCAGATTTTTGGTAAAACATAAAAGATGAGTAGAGTTACCCAACATGTCAAGGGTTAAAATTGTTACCTGTGAAATGGTGACAAACTTCTGTACCCCATATTTTTCATAAGTGATGCTTTCAAAGCTCCTAGAGATCATCAGTTTAGCGTCACGGGGGATTTGTGGGAATTTTATATGCTTGGGTTAAACGTAATTGTTTTTTTGGTGTTTTTTTTTTTTTAAATCTGAAAAATTTCTTTACTTCACTTTTTTCTTTCATCACGCAGGGGACAAAGGCCCCTATGTGATGATTTTTGGGGTCAGCAAGAAGAGCACATGGATATCCACCCGGCTTCCTCCCCTTTATCCATCAGCACTTGCCATGCTGGTCATGGGTGGGGGGCCTTTAAAGTCAGGGTTAGCTGCATAGCCGCTGGATTGCTCCATCTGACAGCTGGCTTGTCAGATACACACACACACTCCCAATGCAGCTGCCGGGAGTGTGTGTATAATACCCCCCCATTGTCAGGTCTGTACGACATGCGGGCCTGGTAGTAATAGGTTAAAAGGATAAAGTTCACCTTTTCCAGAAAATAGCCTATGCAGTCAAGGGGCCCCAGTAGACACAAACTGTACAGCTTTGTAAAAAGTTCATTAATTACATTGTCACACCTGTAGGCCATTTGGGTCCTCCAGAAGCCTGGTTGAAAAACTCTGTTAATAATCCCCAGTTGCCTTGTTTCTGGGATGAAAAACTGTTGGGATGCCCACTCCCAGTTGCAGAAGTGAAAAAACATTTTTTTGCGTCCTAGCAACAAGGCAGAATGTGGGGATTGCTAACTGGGGATAGTTTTTCAGCCAGGCTTCTGGGCAGGCCCAAATGGCCTACAGGTAGAACAATAAAATCATGAATATTTTACAAAGCTGCACAATTTTTAATACTTACTGGAGCCACTTGACTGCGTTGGCTATTGAAGTCATTGCCTGCATGATTAGAAACCTGGTTTGTAAATGATTCAAACAGGTCTCTAGGGCTCTCAGGCGGAAGCTGGCATCCCTGCCATGTCAGGCACTGGTGGACCAAGCATTTAGTAGAGGAGTGCACATTTTTCAGGGTTCACTGGCTGCATAAGGTGAGAAGTCCAGATCATGAAGACACTCTAGGAGCTGACAACTGTAGAGCACAAATTAGCCATTACTGGCATCCCCCATATTTCTGTCCTCACAGGTTTATTTTATGTCTGCGAGGAGAGAGCAGGGGTAGGTCTGTCCTCTAGAAGGGATTCTACATTTCACAGAAACTGTCATTTAAGCCTCTAGAAAACTGCTGCTCTTGCTTAGTTTGCTGCAAGTGATTTCATACTTTCCTGATTAGAAAAAAAAACGTAACATACATACAATGTACAGTATATGTACATACTGAACATATAATATTTCCTTTATTAGAGGCACAAAGTTCCAGCAGATATTTCATTTCTAATATTTACTACAAGGGCTACACAGGTTCACATAGCAAATGCATTCAAAAAGGCAAATATTACTTTATATCGCAACGGTCTCTGTATAGTAATTAAATACTTACAAGCTTTAAAACAGCTTTCTTTTCACTTTTAATTGATTTCTTCAGTTCCTTGGCATGTCTCTTCTGCGCTTTTTTATTTGCAATTAATATAGCATTTGGATCAATTCCAGTCTTTCAGGCAAAATAAATATGTTATTAAAGACAAATAAATGATTTCACTTAGTTTACAATTTACACTGCATAGTTTACCTTCATTTAAATCTATACTCCTGTAGGTAAAAGTTATGTAATAATAATAATAGCTCTCATCACTAAAGAAACCACAAGGGAGAACACATTGCTGCCATTTGTTTTCAGCTGTGAACACTGGGGGGGGGGGGGGGGATGTCAGAATAGGTTACTGTACAATCCCTCACTCACCTACAGTGGATATAAAAAGTCTACACACCCCTGATAAAATGTCAGGTTTCTGTGATGTAAATAAAATTAGATATAGATAAATCATTTCAGAACTTTTTCCACCTTTAATGTGATCTATAAACTGTACAACTCAGTTGAACAACAAACTGAAATCTTTTAGGTGGAGGGGAGTAAAAATAAAAAACTAAAATAATATGGTTGCATAAGTGTACACACCCTTAAACTAATACTTTGTTGAAGCACCTTTTGATTTTATTCCAGCACTCCGTCTTTTTGGGTATGAGTCTATCAGCATGGCACATCTTGACTTGGCAATATTTCTCCACTCTTCCTTGCAAAAAACACTCCAAATCTGTCAGATTGCATGGGCATTTCCTGTGCACAGTCCTCTTCACACCAACCCACAGATTTCGATCAGATTCAGGTCTGGGCTCTGGCTGGGCCATTCCAAAACTTTAATCTTCTTCTGGTGAAGCCATTCCTTTGTTGATTTGGATGTATGCTTTGGGTCGTTGTCATGCTGAAAAGTGAAGTTCCTCTTCATGTTCAGCTTACTAGCAGAAGCCTGAAGGTTTTGTGACAATATTGACTGGTATTTGGAACTGTTCATAATTCCCTCTACCTTGACTAAGGCCCCAGTTCCAGCTGAAGAAAAACAGCCCAAAGCATGATGCTGCTGCCACCACCATGCTTCACTGTGGGTATGGTGTTCTTTTGGTGATGTGCAGGGTTGTTTTTGTGCTAAACAAATCTTTTGGAATTATGGCCAGATGTGTTTTTGAAAAATTTAGCTGGACTTGGATGTTTTCCTTCATAAGAAAAGGTTTCCGTCTTGCCACTCTAGCCCAGACATATGAAGACTACGGGAGATTGTTGTCACATGTACCACACAGCCAGTACTTGTCAGATATTCCTGCAGCTCCTTTAATGTTGCTGTAGGCCTCTCGGCAGCCTCCCAGACCAGATTCCTTCTCGTCTTTTCATCAATTTTGGAGGGATTTCCAGTTCTTGGTAATGTCACTGTTGCGTCATATTTTCTCCACTTGATGATTGTCTTCACTGTGTTCCATGGTATATTTAATGGCAGGTATGCACTGACTCCTATTTAACATGATTTTGAATGTGATTGCTCAATTCTGAACACAGCTACATCCCCAGTTATAAGAGGGTGTGCACACTTATGCAGCTACATTTTAGTTTTTTTATGTTTACTTCCCTCCCCTAAAAGATTTCAGTTTGTTTTTTAATTGAGTTGTACAGTTTACAGATCACATTAAAAGGTGGAAAAAGTTCTGAAATTTGTATGAATACTTGTGCAAATGCTCCTGATACTTGAAACCGATACCTTTGTAGTGCGATTTGAGCCCATACGAAATGAATTGCATGCAGTTTCCAGCACAGCTCCTGTGTGAACCCAGGCTTGTCACAGTGACTTAGAGCCTGAACTCACACAGGAGCGGACACAGCGGATCACCGATCAACGGAAAGAGCCGAAGATGTCGGCTCGGTCATGTGATCAGCTGTGTCCAATCATAGCTGATAGCATGTGAATAAGGAAATGCCGGTTATCTGCATTTCTCTCCCCACGAGCTGTCACGCTGACAGCTCGAGAGGAGAGGAGAGCCGGTAATCGGCATTCCTCAGAGGGGACATGAACACTGATCATCAGGGCACTGATGATCAGTGTGCCCTGATGATCTGTGTAGCCCCAGCAGTGCCACCTGTCAGTGTCCATCAGTGCCAGCTATCAGTGCTCATCCATGCCACATTTCAGTGCCTACCAGTGCACATCAGTGCCCATCTGAGCTGCCTTTCAGTGTCACCCAGTGCCAGTCAGTGCTACCTATCAATGCCAGTCAGTGCCACCTATCAGTGCTGCCAATAAGTGCCACCTATCAGTGCCAGTCAGTGCTGCCTATCATTGTGCATCAGTGCCGCCTATCAGTGCCACCTAACAGTGCCATATGAGTGCTGCCTGTCAATGCCCACTAGTGCCACCTACCAGTGCCTCCTCAGTGCCACCTATCAGTGTCCATTAGTGCAGCCTATCAGTGCTCGTCAGTGCAGCCTCATTAGCGCACATCAGTGAAGGAGAAAAATCACTTATTTACAAAATTGTATAACAAAAACTAAGAAAAAACTTTTTTTCAAAATTTTCAGTGGTTTTTGGTTTAAAAAAAAATAAAAAACCCAGAGGTGATTAAATACCACCAAAATAAAGCTCTATCTGTCACAAAAAAATGTCATATGGGTACAGTGTTGCATGACCACGCAATTGTCATTCAAAGTGCAACAGCACTGAAAGCTGGAAATTGGCCTGGGCAGGAAGGGGGTATAAGTGCCCTGTAGGCAAGTGGTTAAAAAAACATAAGGAAGATCATTTCTGCACAGCTGTGGGACATCAGTTCTCACTACAAGAATAATTCTCTTTGACACAAAAGTAATGGTATAAATGTGAACTTCAGCTTTCTAAATCACTATTCAACACTTTGACTTCCCCTCCAATTCCATAGCCCTCTCCCTGCCTTATCTCACCAGCTATTCAAGTGTAATTACCATTGCTGTGTACTGTACGTTTGTGAGGTTTTTTGTTCCCTCTTAGATAATGTCTTATTAACACTCCGCTAAAACGGTGTGCATTAGTACTGCTTGGACCTTAATGAAGGGGGCACAACCCAAAACTTGTCCTGAAAAATTGGATGTTATTGCAAATTTTTAAAAAAGTATCACAAGCAGTTTTCAATTGTTTCTGTCGGCTATGAACACTGAAAAAAATCAGCAGAGCAGGTTACTGTGTCCTATGCAATCTCTATCACTCATTTCTTACAGCACAAGTTAGGTAAAAAGGAGATCTAATACTCTTACCTTTTTTCTCAAAGCAGAAACATAAAGGTCACTGTTTGCAAAGTACAAGGATGTGTTGGCCTGAAAAATCTTCATACCAGGGATTTCTTTGGTCTAGAAAACAACATATTCATCAAAGAAGAATAGTAGCAAACATATAGAGGACTGGGCAACATAGTGTACTTTTAAATGATTAGAAAACCTTGCAATATACATAAAAAAAAATCACCCCATAACATATTATACATTACTATAAATATATATATATATGTGTTCTGCTGTGTCAAGTGGACACAGGGGTCACAGACCATACCCCCTAAGGCAAGTGGATGGATATCAAAGTATGTTCACCTGGGATAAGACAGGACCCGCCAAGCTGTATTATTACAATAGACTGGGTGGGATGCAGCAGGCTATTCTATTTTGCTGACATTTCATTGCAGCAATTGAAAATGGTACTCAGTAGTTTGTATGGCCCCCACGTGCTTGTATGCATGCCTGACAACGTCGGGGCATGCTCTTAATAAGACGACGGATTTTGTCCTGGGGTATTTCCTCCCAGATCTGGACCAGGGCATTACTGAGCTCCTGGACAGTCTGAGGTACAACCTGGCGGCGTCAGATGGACCGAAACATGATATCCCAGAGGTTTTAAATTGGATTTAGGTCAGGCGAGTGTGGGGGCCATTCAATGGTATCAATCCTTTCATACTCCAGGAACTGTATGGGCATCGTCATGCACCACGAGAAATCCAGGACCATTGCACCAGCGCAGGGTCTGACAAGGATTTGATCCCGATACCTAATGGCAGTCAGAGTGCCATTGTCTAGCATGTAGAGGTCTGTGAGTTCCTCCATGGATATGCCTCCCCAGACTATCACTGACCCACCACCAAAATGGTCATGTTGAATGATGTTACAGGCAGCATAACATTCTCCACGGCTTCTCCAGAAACTTTCATGTCTGTCACATGTGCTCAGGGTGAACCTGCTCTCATCTGTGAAAAGCACAGGGTGCCAGTGGTGGACCTACCAATTCTGGTGTTCAATGGCAAATGCCAATCGAGCTCTGTGGTGCCAGACAGTGAACACAGAATGTTGGGCCCTCAGGTCACCCTCATAAAGTCTGTTTCTGATTGTTTGGTCAGAGACATTCACATCAGTGGCCTGCTGGCGGTCATTTTGTAGGGCTCTGGCAGTGCTCATCCTTGCACAATGGAGCAGATCCTGCTGATGGGTTAAGGACCTTCTACGGCCCTGTCCAGCTCTCCTAGAGTAACTGCCTGTCTCCTGGAATCTCCCACATGCTCTTGAGACTGTGCTGGGATACACAGCAAACCTTCTGGCAATGGCATGTAATGATGTGCCATCCTGGAGGAGTTGGACTGCCTGTGCAACCTCTGTAGGGTCCAGGTATTACCTCACGCTATCAGTAGTAACACCGACCCTAGCCAAATGCAAAACTAGTGGAAAAACGGTCAGAAAAGAGGAGTAGGGAGAAAAATGTCAGTGGCCTCCACCTGCAAAACCCATTCCTGTTTTAGGAGTTGTCTCATTGTTGCCCATCTAGTGCACCTGTTAATTTCAACAACACCAAAGCAGTGGAAACTGATTGACAACCCCCTCTGCTACTGAACTGACCAGATCAATATCCCAGGAGTTTAATTGACTTGATGCTATACTCTGATTAAAAAGTGTTCCTTTAATTCTTTTGAACAGTGTACATACATAGGTGAACTAAAGGTTCTTTATTTTGTATTTGCTTGCAGCTCAGCTTAAAGCATCTGTAAATACGTTGCTTGCTTGTCATTTGTACCTACTGTGTAGCGGTTTGCTGCTATGCTTTAAATAAGGCGTGTCCAACCTTTTGATTTTCCTGGCCCACACTGGAAGAAGAGAAATGGTCTTACGCCACACTAAAATACATTAATAATAGGGAGAGCTGATAAGCCGAAAAACTCGGGCAGATCACAATAAATTTTCAAGGTGCTCATCAGATATTTTGGTTCCAATTTTGCTCTTCGTGTGCTTCATCCTTGAAAATAGTTGCACGCTGATTGGAGAGTGGGATATTTTTCTTCAGGAAGATAAAACTTATAAAAGTACAGTACAGAGACACTCTCAATTTTTCTTCAGTTGCATTTGTTTGCGGAGTGTAAATGCATTTTTACATAAAAAAAAGTCAACATTTTAAATGAAGTTTACGATTTTGTGTTGGGCCGCATGCAGCCCGTAGGCCTCAAGTGAGACACCCCCTGCTTTAACCACCTCCCGCCCGCCATATAGCAATATGACGGACGCAAGGCGGTTCTCTCGTTCTAACTGCACATGCGCGCCTCCTGGAGCGCGGTGATCGGCGGTGCGCTGTGTCCCTCGGACACAGCGGATCACTGAATCACGGAAAGAGCCGAAGAGGTCAGTTCGGTCATGTGATCAGCTGTGTCCAATCACAGCTGATCACATGTAAACAGGGTAATGCCGGTAATCTGCATTTCTCTCTGAGGAGAGGAGAGCCGGTAATCGGCTTTCCGCGGAGGGGACATGTACACAGATCATCAGAGCACTGATGATCAGTGTGCCCTGATTATCTGTGTAGCCCCAGCAGCGCCACCTGTCAGTGTCCAACAGTGCCAAATCTCAGTGCTCATCCATGCCACCAGCCAGTGCCCATCAGTGCCACATTTCAGTGCCCATCTGAGCTGCCTTTCAGTGCCACCTATCAATGCTGCCAATCAGTTCCAGTCAGTGCCGCCTATCAGTGTGCATCAGTGCCGCCTATCAGTGTGCATCAGTGCCGCCTATCAGTGTGCATCAGTGCCGCCTATCAGTGTGCATCAGTGCCGCCTATCAGTGTGCATCAGTGCCGCCTATCAGTGTGCATCAGTGCCGCCTATCAGTGTGCATCAGTGCCGCCTATCAGTGTGCATCAGTGCCGCCTATCAGTGTGCATCAGTGCCGCCTATCAGTGTGCATCAGTGCCGCCTATCAGTGTGCATCAGTGCCGCCTATCAGTGTGCATCAGTGCCGCCTATCAGTGTGCATCAGTGCCGCCTATCAGTGTGCATCAGTGCCGCCTATCAGTGTGCATCAGTGCCGCCTATCAGTGTGCATCAGTGCCGCCTATCAGTGCCATATATGAGTGCTGCCTTTCAGTGCCCATCAGTGATGCCTGTCAATGCCCATCAGGGCCACCTACCAGTGCCTTCTTATCAGTACCACCTATCAGTGCAGCTTATCAGTGCCCATGACTGCAGCCTCATTAGCGCACATCAGTGAAGGAAAAAAATCACTTATTTACAAAATTTTCTAACAAAAACTAAGAAAAAACATTTTTTTTTTAAAGTTTTCCGTGGTTTTTGGTTTAAGAAAAAAAAAAATAAAAAAACCTAGAGGTAATTAAATACCACCAAAATAAAGCTCTGTCACAAAAAAAAAAAAAAAAATGATAAAAATTTCATATGGGTACAGTGTTGTATGACCGCGCAATTGTCATTCAAAGTGCAACAGCGCTGAAAGCTGGAAAATGGCCTGGGCAGGAAGGCGGTATAAGTACCCTGTAGGCTAGTGGTTAAATAAAAGAAAGAAAACAGTCATGCTTACAGGATGATTGTTACATTGTTGCATCGAACTGTGAATCTCATTGTAATTGTTCACAAAACTCATAAAAAAAGTCCACAAATTAAAACATGAATTTTAAAGATGACATATATACCTCCTCATATTCCTCTACATCACAGTATATGTCTGTATTTGGAATCTGTCCTAGGATTCTGTACTCTGAACTAAAAAAAAAAAAAAAAATCAATTATATAATAATGTTACCTAGGTCAATCAACATATTAGAAAATCAAAAATGTATAAGCATATATATCACAAAAAACATTATCAATACGTCACCTACATCTGACAACATTTTATTATTATTATACAATATTTATAAAGCGCCGATAGTTCGCTCAGCGCTGTACATTACAAAGGGGGACAGAACATGTGACAGAACAATACCAATACAATGCAAAACATGAGGGGATCGAGGGCCCTGCTCTTTCGAGCTT